CCAAATGGAAAAACCTAAACCCTAAGTCCAACTAGGCCTCCATGTCATTGAGGAGATCTTTTACAGCTGGGGCCTCCTTTCCTTTACTGGCCACGCCCACATGGCAGCCTCCCAGGACCTGGCAACTCAAATGAGAAGTATATTCATTCACAGTAAACCAAAGAAGCAAGAAATGACAAAATGAGTCAACTAAATTTGTGCAACCGAATAGTCAACCAATGCCAAATCACAGCAAAAAGTGAAATCCAGTCCAGTAGAATATAAAAGAAAGAATTCCCAGACCATTTGTTGTGTGGTTGAACATCCACCATCACAGCTCCACTGAAGCTGTCTGTGTGTAAAAACATCAGCTGAATGTTTCCAGGTTTATCATCCAGCCATCTCTCCCTCCCAGGTTCTCCGGTTCCCTCCTCTCAGCTTCTGGGCGCTCGGCTCCCAAGCGCTCCGACGCTGACGGATTTCTACCAGACCCGGCAGAAGCTCCACAAGCAGCTGTCCGACCCCGTGCAGCCGTCCTGCTCCTCCTGCAGTCACTCCCCTCAGCTCGGCCGCCCGGCCAACCTGGGCTCATCCCCCACCAAGCTGCTGGGGTCGTCGCCACGCATGTCTGACTGGCTTCAGAAGTCGCCGCTGCCAACGATCATCGGTTCCCCCACCAAGGTGGGCGCTCTAACCAGCTTTAGCGGACGCCGTTCCTGCTAATTAACTAAATCTCTAATTAACCCGTTTCTCTTCAGACAATTTCTGCTCCGTTCAAGATCCCTAAAACTCAGGCGTCCTGCAACCTGATGGCGCTGGCAGACAGCCCAGTTCCCAACAAGACGCTCGCAGACTGTCGGGACGTGTGCAGCCACCATTGCAGCCCCTACCTGATGGGACGGGCTGCTGCCCCGGAGGCCAGCAGGACCTTTGGCAGGTAGGCGACCTCTGAGGTTCGCTCTGTAGCCTAGATGATGTCACTCTCAGCCCCACGCTGCCTTTCAGTAGATCCCCAACAACATGCTGCTTCCGTTCATTTTCACAATGCCATGTCTGTGTCTCCACTGACCTCTGTGGTTTCCACTTAGGTCCGTCAGTACCGGCCGTCTGTCTGAACAACCGATCAGAATCACTCTGGGAGGACAAGCCTACCAGGGCAGCACCGACAGTCTGAACACCGAGCGGCCCATGGACACAGGTAGACGGACGCAGCCGCCGCTTCAGCCTGAAGCCACAGATTTAGAAAAGGATCTGAAATCATCAAATAAATCTTGGATCAATAGGTCGCATTCTAATGAGCAAACAGCAGCTGTTAAACACAGCGTTAATGAGGAGAAATGAGCCTGTGCACACTGTTGCACACGTTCGATAGGCGTTCCCTCTCGGGAGCGGGTACTGGGTTGTGCATGTGCGTGTTTATTGCATGTGGAGAGGGCGGGTCTTTACAAATTTTCTGAAAATCCTCCATTATACCTTTAATCTTCTGAAAGGTGGACTTTCTCAGCTCTGTTGGGGTTTTAATACAATAAGTCTGGTTTCCCAGCAAACCAGTGAAGCATGGTAATGGGGGCGTCATGCTGCGGGGGTCCTTTGAGGGGTTTGGTTTAGAAAACCTTTGGGGATATGATCCCCTCAATGACAGAAATGTTTGCGTCCTCTGCAGCCCCCAGCGTGGCTCCAGGAAGATCGGCGAGCCCCCGCACCGTCCTGTTCACGGTGGGCTCCCCGCCCAGCAGCAGCACCCCTCCCACATGCAGCCACCTGGGAGCCCGGCCTCGGACCACCTCTGGTAAAAGCCGTCCAGCTCCGCCGCCGTCCGTCTCGCCGTTTGGTCCGTAGTGATCATGTCCTCTCTCTCTAACTGCTCCGTCCTCAGTGGGTTCCAACAGCTCGGCCGGTTCCTTGTGCTCCACCAGCGGTCGGGTGTGCGTGGGTTCCCCCCCGGGCATGACCATCGGATCGTCTCCTCCAGGCAGTTTAGGAGCTGGCCATGGTGCTGATGGAGGGCCCAGCAGCCTGCGCTACCTTCCTTATGGGACCTCCCCTCCTAGCATGGAGGGGTTCATCACCTTTGAAGCCCCGGAGCTGCCAGAGGAGACCCTGATGGAGGTGAGATAGCCCCGCCCCCGCTCCGTCTCAACTTCCTGGCTCATCAGGTGGATTTAAACTTTCTTTGTTTTTCTATGTCCCGGCTCAGCGTGAGCACACAGACACCCTGATGCACCTCCGGATGATGCTCTCCTTCACCGACTGCATCCTGGAGATGGCAGCGCTCCGAGCCGGGGGGGCGGAGCTCGGGATGTCCGCCGCCTCCCTCTACCCCCCCCAGGACAGCGTGGTGGTGGACCAGATCAGCCAGCTCAGTAAAGAGTGGGGGTAAGCGTCTGGATGTCCGGTCACTGTGAGAAGGCTCTTCAGCCTCTAACATGCTGTGACTCTGCTGCCCCCTACAGGCAGGTGGAGCAGCTGGTGCTCTACATGAAGGCAGCTCAGCTCCTCGCCTCCTCCCTCCATCTGGCAAAGGCTCAGATCAAATCTGCTAAACTGAACCCTTCAACTGCGGTCAAGCAAGGTAGGGGCATCTTCCTAGTTCACACGTGGGGGGGGGGGATCTCACCATCTCGCCTCCATCAGGGTCTCTAAGTGGAAACCAGTTTAAACCCAGTAGCTCTACCATTCAATCATTTAATCTGCCTCCTGGCTACAGACCTGAAGGCAGTGAGAATCAGCTCCTTATGCTGCAGCATCAAATTATTTTCCACCTTAACGTATCTCCTGTTTTTTTCTAGTGGTCAAGGGTTTGAACGAGCGCTACAAAAGCTGCATCGCCTTCTGTCGCCACCTGACGGACAAACTCAACCACTTCTTCTCCGACAAGCAGCGCTTCGTGGATGAGATCAACAGCGTCACGGCCGAGAAGCTCATCTACAACCACGCCGTGGAGATTGTGAGTTCTTAAACACAGACGCCATGATCTGAA